CCAGGATCTCCTTTGGTCAAAGTGCAATATACCACTCTATTTCCTGTGATATCCTATTGCATTCTTTCTTTGATGAAGCCAGTAGATTTGCCCTGCACAGTCATTGCCTATATACCATTGTTAATTACCATTTGCACAAAAGGACACTAATAAATTATATCGGCAGGAACCTCTAATGACTTCTCCTAGGAAGTGGCTTTCAATTTAATCTTTAAAATAAGCAAGGTCAGCCTGGGGTTGGAGATCCAGGGTGAATGAGGGAGTAAAAATGAGCTTCAGAAAAAGATCAGGAGGAAAAACAAGATGAAGGAATATTTGATTATTTAGAAAACTTGCACTGAATATCTTTTGTGAGAAGGAGGAAAAGGAAATTTGAAAAGCTCTAAACACATACATTGTTTAAATGTTATCCCAAATACTGGCTTTTACATAATTTGGTGTAACTTCCCTTTGCAAATGTTCATTCTATCTCATATATGTAGGGTTTTATTTTATTCCATTTTTAAAACGTCATTTATGTTTTAACTATTAAATAAAATAACTTAAATTACAACATTGTTGCCAAAATTTATTGCTTAGACAGGATTGAGATTTAGGAAATTTATTGCCATGAAGTCACCAATGGTTTATAATTTATAAGACTTTGGATTAGACATTAGCACAGTTATTATTTCCTCTAATGCCTTACCTCACCAGTTAATAACATTCAGGAAATCCAAAAGACAAAGGGGAAAGAGTAGTCTTGAAAGCTAAAAATAGTCGTTGAAAACTGATGCAATCATGCAATAAAATATGGCACAATAACTTACATGATATGTTCATGGTATCTGCTAAAGCAATTAGAGTTCATGAAGTTAGAATTGTGTTCCTGTATTACTACTATAAATGAAAACTGTTTCAGCCCAAGTAAGGCATATAAACTGTATGGTTTATTGTATAAGTGGGTCCTAGGATTTTTAGTCTTAATGTTTTCATATGTGATCTATTTAACATTCTCCTAAGGCAGAAAATCATTGAGTAGCAATCAAATTTCAAAATACTTTTCAAGCAGTGCCAGTGACTTGTAGGATTTAGTCCATATGAAAACAGAGTATTAATATGCAGTAAGGTTAATTCATAGTAAGTGAGTACCTTCACACCTCTTGATCGTTGGAAAGCAAAAGCATCAACACTGAAGTTTCTGACTATCATCAACAGTAAATGTATCTTGTACTAAAAGCACATGATAAAAGAGGTCTCTTTTTAATTTTTTTACACATAATGTAAATTTTAAGAAATTCCAAGTTAAATGCATGAATGGATTGGCAGTTACAGTGATTTTAAATCACATATTGATAAGATCAGGATGTTTATATACTTGTTTTAAAAGAAAATCACATATTCTGAAATTTAATATTTTTATTCTAATTGAATAAAACCTAAAGTTATGAAAATATTTGAAGAAAACTTCTCAATTAGTCTTTTTGCAGCTATTGGAAAGACCCTCAATGCCTTATGGAAGGTAGAAGCATCTACATATATTTTGAACATCCATATATCTTTTTCAATTTTATTGTTAAGGGTGATGTATAGAGGGATTGCACTTACATGAGTAAGGTAATGAGTACATTTCTTGTCGAACATTGTTAACCTCTCACTCTTTTCTCTCACTTTGCTTCACTCCCACTGCCCTCCCTCCCAAGTCTAAAGTTCATTTCCAACATAGTGTCTTGTGAGTATCGCTGTTGCATTGGTTTGCCCTCTGTCGTTTGTCTCACCATTTTTTTGTTCTCTTTCCCTTCCCCAGATCAGCTAAACATATATACAATTTTTGCTCATGGATACAAAGGCAGGCATTTCTAGTGTGGGAGAAGAGATTTTAATCACAGAGAATGATTTCACTATAAAAATATAGTAACAATGCAAAATTGAAAACCCAAGTGAAGATTGTGTGTGTGTGTGTGTGTGTGTGTGTGTGTGAAAATACCGTACAGAGGGGTTACAATTACATGGGCAAGGTAGTGAGTACAGTTCTTATCAAACATTGTTGCCTCCTCCTTTGTTTCCCTTACCATTCCTGCCCATCTCCCACCCCACCCATTCTTCCCCCCTCCCCACCCCACCCCCAGCCACTCTGCTCCAAAGTTGTAAACTTCGTTTTCGACCTAAAGTCTTGCACATCTCATTGTTGCAATGGGTCCACCTGTATCCCTATTTAAACGAATTTTTTCCCTTCCCCTCCCAAAATTATACCAACATCAAATAGAGTGAAAACAAGGGTTATACCGTGGGGGAGGGACATACAAAGCAACAAAGAAATCATCTTATAAATATCTTAGAAATAAAAGCAATAAAGAAAAAAAAACCATTTGGGTCCTTATTTTGGGGTTAATTTCACCTAACATTAACTTATCTGACCATTTCTGCTTGTCTCAGACATATACCAGTTATTGCAAATAAGGGAAACCATGGGACCTGTGTTTCTTTGGGCCTGGCTTACTTCACTTAATATAATTTTTTCCAAGTCTTTCCATTTCCTAACAAATGGGGCAATGTCATTCTTTCTGATGGAGGCATAGAATTCTATTGTGTATATATACAACATTTTCTTGATCCATTCATCTACTGAGGGGCATCTGGGTTGGTTCCATATCTTAGCTATGGTAAATAATGTTGCAATAAACATAGTTGTGCTGGTAGCTTTAGTATGGTCTTGTTTGTGATTATTTGAGTAAATAACCCAAAGTGGGATTGCTGGGTCATAGGGGAGCTCTATGTGGAGTCTTTTGAGGAACCTCCATACTACTTTGCAAAGTGGTTGAACAAGTTTACACTCCCACCAAAAATGCAGTAGGGTTCCCTTCTGTCCACATCCCCTCCAGCATCTGTTGTTATTAGATTTTTGAGGGCATAATAAGTTCATTGTTATTACCATATATTGTGTTATTACATTTTCATGTCCGCTATAAGACTTTCTTACCTTATTGCACTTGGGGAGTCTGAGGTTTTAGGGAATTTCAAGAATTGCCTGAGGCCCAGAAAAAATTAAAGGCAGAAAGAGGGAGCACTACCTCACCCTTCTGTCTAGTTTCAACATCCTTGGACTCCATTGTTGCTTGCAATAGATATGAAGTGTACACTAAAACATTTGTGTTTTAAAATGTTATTTACCTTTTGAATGCAAACATCAAATCACAATTATTTTGACTATCTTATGTCACTGAGCTAGGAAGGATAATCAATTTGTTTTGCCCCTTTGTATAATCATATAAAATATGAATTTACATGATATACAATGAGATATTATGGTAAGAATTACATTTAGAGTAAAAAGATTGTGTATCAGTTAAAGAGGGGTGACTCACTTAGTATATATTTTTGAAGTTCAACAAAAATGAGGAAAGGTTTGAGGATATCACCTGACACCATGACAAAGGCTAGTTTTTCATCTTCTCTTGAACCATAACTGGTATGCTTAACCTCTCTGCCTATGAAGTCTAATCCTGTACCTTGTAAATCATATACTACATGAAACTGGAAGTACTTCTCATTTGTCATGACAATGTGTGTTTAACTTGGCTATCAGATCCCAGATATTAAGTGTCACATGCTTTGAGAGAACAACTCCTCTTTGTCAGTGTTACAAAACATTTCATGAGTATTAAAAAATGGTATTTTTACAATATTCTCTACCATATTGACACTACATCTATTTCCTTTGTTCTCTAATCCACAGTAAATAAGTATATGTGAATTTTAATCATAATTACAAGGTTTGTGGTAGAAAAGTATATTTTCATTGCTAGGGACATCTAATTACTAAATAGAGAATCGAAGCAATGAAAAAGTAGACTTGGTAATTCCCACTCACAGTAATAAAACTCAAGAACTCTTGGTTTGCTTCCTTTTTTGCTTTCCTCCCTAATTCAAATGAATTTTAAGATTCATAACTTGAAATCCTGCCATTAGCTCCATCAGAAATATTAAATGTTAAATAAAGTGATCTTTACTGACCATAAAATGAATGTCATTTACTATTCTAAGATAGAGAATACTTTTATGTGAATAGCAGAGAAATTGCCAAAAAAGCTATTTTATTTCCGACTATAGACAAGTTAATGTGCTACTGGAAAAAGCATACATATTCTGCCTTAATTAATTCCCAGAGCTCCTGGATCTGAAAAGAATGCTCAGAAATGATGCCAAAGTTATTCCATTGTTACATATAAGTTGAGGTCGTTACATTTATAGACTATATATAGATTATAGAATTTCAGCAAGGCTTCAGGCAGGAATGCACTTCATTGAAGATTGGGGTGTCATGCTTTTCTGCACACATACCAGCTCAGAACGTGAATGAACATTTTTTTTTAAATTTTAGAACATGAACATTTTTATATGTAGTCAGAAGTCCATTCCTGTCTCCACAAACTGGGGCAGAGGAGAAGTGCCTGTTCTGTTGATTTAACCTCAAGGCATACCCCCTTAATATATAATCTAATATTTCTCTCTTAGACAGAGGAGGAAGAACTTCAGACATCTTACATGTTGTTTATCTAACCAAATTTCATGAGTAGCACCAACATTGTATAAAGGACAAAGTATGGGATGACTCTTTGAACATTTTTAGTGGAAATCACACACAGAAGAGTACAAGAGTTGATTCTCCTTTTTCTCTTCTATCTAGAAAAACAAAAAGAGACACTCCTGTAAGTCTAAAATTATTTCAAAAGTCACTATGATACATCTTGGTATAACTATTTAGGAAATAGATTAATTCTTGCTATGACATATTTTGCTCTTTAAATTTTGGGTCAACAACATTACCTACAACATGCTAAATGGTACTAAAAGCTAAAAAAGCAAGGAGTTCTTTGGTTAGATCCACTTCTTTTAAATCACTTAATGTATTTTGTGGTCTCTAAAGTTTGCACAAGCTAATGTACTCTCTAAGTGACATGATGGAAATATCCCTTTTTTGTGAATAAATGAAAAATGACTTCTTTTGTTTTAATCTACAGGACAACATTTTTAAACTTGAGGACTCACATTTTGAAAATGGCCGTGGGAAGAGTCCTTATGACCCTAAACTTTTGACAGCATCTCTTCTAATAGGTATGTAGACAATAATTAATCAAAATAATTAATCTCTTTTAAACAGTAACATCCTATGTGTTATATTTATGTCTAGATTTTCTATTATTAATCACTAACCATTTCATGAGTAGAATATCAGAAGTGATATATTTGAATATTTGAAAATGGAAAAAAAAATACTAAATGCTGTTTTGACATTGCACTAACTTATCTTATTCTTTTTTATCAAAATAATTTAATAATATCTTTAAAATAGCTCTAGCAGTATGCATCCTTATTTGAACTTTAATATTTAACATTATAAGAAATTTCTCTTGATTTTTCACTTGAGAGATAAAAAGTACTTAATGATTTTAAAACTGACATTTATTCTCGTCTATAAATTGTGGTCTGAGATCTATCAATTTCTCAACATCTGGACAAATTTATCAGTACAGTCATTGTAAGTAGTGTAAAAGTTAACTAAACCTTGACTGTGATACATTAGTCAGCTTATTCTGATGTCCTATTAAATAGATTGGATGAAGGAATGCTTTTTGTCTTCACCTTTTGTGAGGCCTCTTGTTTTTGTTTTGTTTTGTTTTGTTTTTTCTTGAAATGCAGCACAGTATGTTTTTGTGATTCCTTCTAGGTGTTTCTCTCACCATCATTTCTTTTTTACAAGTTTTTCTTTTCCGTTTTTCCCTAAGCAATGCAGATTTTGAAAGATAGATCTAAGAAAATATAATATTTAGAAGTAAAAGTGGAATATTTTCATCTACATTGGAAGTATTTTTACGTATCCTTTCAATCATCTCCACAATGGGATTCTCTAATAGACAAAAACTAATCAATCATGAAATAAGTTATTCATCTTCCTTTTGTCTTCTTCCTTCTTGCCTCCCTTCATCCTTTCTTTCTTCTCCTCCTACCTTCCCTATTTCCTTTCCTCCCTCCCTCTCCCTTGTTCCCTGGTTCCCTCATTCCTCCCCTCCTTTCTTTCATCCCTTCTTCTGCTCTTCCTCCTTCCCACCTCCTCACTTTTTCCCTTTTTCTGTTCCTCATCCTTCCTTCCCTCCCCTTATTCTCTCCCTTCCTTCTTTCTTTCCTTTCTCTCTTCCTTCCTCCCTGTCTCCCATTTCTCCTCTTCTCTCCTTCTCTTTCTCTTTCCCCATTCCTACTCTCACCTCTCCTTCCCTCTTTTCTTTTTTCTCTTTCTATAAAACATAGAAAATCATTTGATAGCACAATAAAAATGATGGTAATTTTTTCTCAAATTTCTAACTGAATTTTCAATAATACATCTAGATTTTAAGAAAGCAAATTTGTTATTATCTGCTTTGTAATAAATTTATAAACTTTCCATTTTTATTCATGTATTAATAAGTTTGTTTTCTACTCAAACAACAAAACATACTAATCATGTAGACAGCTAGATTAACTATGAAGTTATACTTTTCTACTATTGTTAATGTTTACTGCTAATCCATGTTCCATTAAGAACAAAAGCATTGCAGCCTAAGATATCTTCTCTATTGCTTTTCAAATGCAGACAATTTCATTCCATTTGATCCATTTATACAGCATTTAGACAAAACTTTAAGACCTGTAGGAATTCAACACACTTAGCACACTTATAATTTCCTTATTCATAGGTAAACCAGTGATTATATGAGGATGCTTTCCTCAAGAGTAATGCAGACATTTGAAAGTTGTCTTAAACAAAGGGGAGGAGCCATGCCTTGTTCCAACTTGCAACCCATACTTATTTAAATTACACAGTGAATAAAAAAGTTAGGTATTATTCAAATCGCAAAACACAGTCTGTAAAAGTGAGCCTCCAGCAGCTTTAGTTTGTGGTATGTTTCACAGTTGGGATTGGTTTGATTATTTATTTTAATATTCCATTGAGGGAGGATGATGACAAGTAGGCATTACCTAGTTTCTATGGTATGCAACCACACAAAATCCACAAACAATATAGTTTAGAGGTTATATTAGAATTTATTTGAAAAGGCTATATAGGCTTATGAAAAGGAAAAGAACATGAAGGAATTACAGTGAGCCAAGGAGGGGAAATGTGGCTGAGAAAGAACTATAGACATTTCAGAAAAGCAAGCTTCTCATAAAGTTCAGTCCGAATAAACCCTATATAGTAAAATAATTTAGTAGCTTTCAAAGACATAAAGTGCTTGTGGATAAGACTGGAAAACTTAAATTTTTAAATCAATTAACCAGAAGAACACAGAATAAGAAACAACTCCTCTTACAGCTAATAAAATTGCAGAATCCCTGCAACACTTTAGACTCAAGAGTTTTAACTCACTTTACAAAGTTGTTTCCTTCATAACCATGTTATAAATTTTGCTTTTCACAGAACATTTAATTCCTTGCTTTGGGTTTTTGTTGGCATTTTGTGTTATACTGCCTTAGGTAGAATGCTCACTAGTTTAATGGGCTTTTGAACATAAATAATTTCTATCATGTTTTCCAAACTATGCTATTTACCAAGGGTAACAACAACCATCTATGAAATATACAAGCAGTAAGTACTTTATACTTCAGAAATAAACACTAGGATATCTGATCTTCTCACATAATTTAAATATATCCTCTTTATCTCAGCCTATAAGAGAGAAAAAAAATGTAGGTGGTTTCAGGCTTATTTCACCAGCACTGGGAAATAAAATTCCAAGTTTGGTTCAGATCATCTCTAAAGTGGCAAGATGGATTCTGGCAGTATGTACTTTTTATACTATCATCTCCAAGACAAAGCAATTTCATCCAACAGAAAATTATAAAACTATATGCCAGCTTAAAAAAAGTAGTTTACTGCAGGGCTTCCGTGGCTCACGCCTCTAATCCTAGCTACTCAAGAGGCTGAGATCTGAGAATCCAGGTTCAAAACCAGCCCAGGCAGGAAAGTCTGTGAGACTCTAATCTCCAATAAAACACCAGAAAACCGAAAGTTGCTCTGTGGCTTTACTTCACTAAATTATTGTGATTTCATATAATCTCTTTCCAAAATGCTTGTTTGTTTGTTTGTTTGGTTTTTGTTTTTTTGTCAGTCGTGGGGCTTGAACTCTGAGCCTGGGAGCTGTCCCTCAGCTCTCCAGCTCAAGGCAAGCACTCTACCACTTGAGGCACAGCACCATTTTCAGTTTTCTGGTCATTTTTTGAAAAGAAGAGTCTCAAGGACTTTCCTGCAGGGCTGGATTTGAACCATGATCCTCAGATCTCAGCCTCCTGAGTAGCTGGGATTACAGCCGTGAGCCATCAGCACCGGGCTGCTTTTTTTGTTGTTTTGGTAATTTTTGTTGTTGTTGTTGTTTTAATTAACCAGAGATAACACGTTTTCTCTCCCTCGTAAACATAATCCCTAAATTACCACATCCTTACATATACCTTACTTGTCTCAGATCCTCTTTAAGAAATGTACTCATTATCTTGCCCATGTAATTGTAACCCCTCTATATGGTATTTTCACAATAAAAAAAAAAACTTGATTTTTACCAATCACTTTAGTAAGGATCATTTTTTTCATAGGAAATTTTCTGGAATTTATTCTTTAAGATATTTATAATTTCTTTGCATTTTTTTTTTTTTGTATCAGTATGAGAGCTTGGACTCAAAGCCAGGACCTTTGACGTTAGCATTTTGTACTCAAGGCGCTGGAGACACACCTTCACCTCTGGCTTTTGCTTATTAATTGGCTATAAGAGTCTCAATCGGGGCTGGGAAGGTAGCTCAGTGGTAGAGCGCTTGCCTTGCAAGGCCCTGGGTTCGATTCCTCAGCACCACATAAGCAAAAAGAAAAAAGCCGGAAGTGGCGATGTGGCTCAAGTGGTAGAGCGCTAGCCTTGAGCTGAAGAGCTGAGGGACAGCTCCCAGGCCCAGAGTTCAGGCCCAATGACCGGACCCCCCCAAAAAAAGTCTCAATCATTTTTCTGCACAGTCTAGCTTTGAATCTTCATCCTCAGATTTCAACCTCTTGAGTAGCTAGGATTACAGTTGTTTGCCACTAGTTGCTAGCTAATATTTTTATGGTTCAGGGATTTCTTGATGCCAAATAGCAGTCACTCCCCTGCTCAGAATAAATGCCAGCTGCAAATGGAACACAGGACTAAAATCTAGTATCTTTCACATGAAATAAATACCAGCTCACATTTTCATGATGTGAAAGGAATAGTCAACTTCAGAGTAATTTTATTTCCTCATTGAAATCTTTTCCAGGCAATGCAGCACTAATAGTTTAGAAATATTCCATTATTATGTGATATTATTGAGATCTATTTCAAAGACCTGGGATTTTTGTTAAGGTTTTATCTTCAAGCTGGAATTCTGTCTTGCACCTGGAAAGAACATAATTTGACACTAAAATGCTCTCACTGGGATTTTAGAAAAAGCTGGGTCCTCCCTAAATTAATTAAATATGATTGAGAAAATTATTTGAGCCTCTTTGAAACTCAGTCCTCTCCAATCTAAAGTGGTATGTTATATTATTTGCTTTTGTAAGAATTAAAGAAAACAATGCATCTCTGAACCACTGTTTTGAGTGTTTGCACATGTCTGGAATACATAGGTGTGATGCAGAAGCAAAATGAACTATTAGCAGGAGCTTCACGTGAGGCGGCTGGGAGGCAGATTTCGTAATTTATAAATTTTGTATTATTAATTTTGCACCTTATGCACATTTTACTACTGATGTAACAATATTTTTAAAAGAATAAGTAATAAAGCCAGTGTATTATATTTATTGATATGGAAAAGGAACTCAATAAGTGTAAAATTATTTCCACTTGTCTCAAAGTTAGGTTTATATATGTACATATATATGTATTCATGTATGAGTGTATGTCTGCAAGAGAGAGAGAGAGCAAGATATCTATTTTCTGTTTCTCATGACTACTCTATCAGTAGAATTTACTTATGACGTTAACAACATAATGATTTATAATGAGTTGTTCTTGGTTTGTTTGATTTCGGTCATATCTGTGCAAGTAATGCTGCAATTCCATCAAAAACATTTCGCTCTCCTCCCCCATCCCCCTCACCACACCTTTCTTAGGAATTGTAATCTGATACCTTAACTGATCTAAGTCACATTCTTTTCTTTCACTTCATTTAGAGCTTTGGCAGAAAGTCTAAAGTATATGTGAATTTTTGTTTTTAATGCCAGTTTCTCAGGAAACTTGGTGTTAATATATTTCATAAAACACTTTTTGTTCATTCCAGTAAATAACTATTTTCCAAAAAAAAAGCAGATTTAAAACATCAAATTGTTAGGGAAGAATCTTGCTATAGTCAAAATAACCAGTTTTGGCCTTTTTACTCATTCTAGGTGCTTAGTTTTGTCTATTAACCATTAGCATTTCCTAGTAGAATATAATATTTTAAAATGTCAAAACACCCATGTGATGTTTTTTGTGGAGATTGTGAAACATCTTGTTGGACAAGAGTATCCACATTGTGTAGCGATTCCTTGAATATATAATTCTACCATCAGTTTAATAAAATTGGGCAAAGCATATCATGTTTCCTTTCACTGGCCTATTAATATATGTAGAAAGCTCAAAAGTGTGGATAACATCTATAATGTCATTTATATCAAGGCAGAATAGTATTTACTAATATGTTTGTTCCAAATAATTTGTATTCGGGTTTAGAAAATGATCACAACACTATGCACAAAAGTCAACATATAATTTGATCACTCTATAAATTACATAGAAACTACAAAGTAAGTTTGACTAGGGAGCATTTTTGTTAAATTGCTAAAATAATACAACTTATACCAAAACTCTAAATTATTTTGGATACTCACAGGCTATATCCTATTTTGGTGGATAATTAAAGTGTTTGAGTATATTAATTTTCATATGCTTCTGCTGATGTATTCACTGTTTAAAAAGTAATAAATGATAGTATGCCATTTTGATTCCTATTTTTTACCTCTTGTGCATTCATGCAAAAATAACAAAGCTGTTATATTTTACATGAGACAATCATTCCCAATAAGAATCCCCATTGAAATCCAGCAGAAAATCTTATCTAAGTTTTGGTGCAAAGAAACAGTTGCTGCCATACAACAAGGATAATATAAAGCATGAATAAAAAGTGATCATTGCTACCACCCAGTCATCTGGACCCCTCTTGCTAGAGAAAATCACCGTCTCTTGCCAAAAACAGTAATTAGGTGCAAGATAATTTTGCATGGATGGAGGCAATCAGAGTCTAAGCTGTAGCCTTCTTTTGATTAAAAAGTCAATTTTTAATTTAATTCTCTTTTTAATAGTGAGTCAACAGCTCTTCTGAATAACTTTTCTTTTGTCTGAATGAACTTTCTATCTGTTATGAAGAAAAAGAAAAGCAGTCTCTTCTTGCCTTTAGTTTCATTGGTATTGACTTTACCAACCTCCTATGTGAGTGAATAAAAAAATAAAATAAAATATAACAAAGCAAAGGAGTAAGAGCAACAGATTCCTTTCTATCTCCAAATAACAATTACACTGTGAAGGTTATTTCAACTTCTTCCTGAACTATTTATATACATAATAGCAACCATAATTATGGATTGTATTCACTCTTAGAAAGCTAGCAGACCAAAAGTGATTAATCAATATTACTCTATCATTTCTGGTAATTCTGCTTGGCATATTCAACCTAATATTAAATTGATATCCTGAGATGAAAACATTTACTTCTGACTGCCTTTATTTTTATGTTCCTAATCAGTGGATTAAAAAAAAAAACCATTAACTCATCCAAATAATCAAAAATTAGTGTTTAGGATTACTGTAATTAATGTGGACTATTTAGAAAAATGATTTATTATTCATTTTTTCTTTTCTTTTAATTTGTAAATATATTATTTCGCTTTGTGTTGACAGGCAATTAAGTTAACTGGAGGAAATAATAAGAAGCACTTTCTGTTGCAAAGTCAGAAAACATAATTTTCCAAACTTCCATCTATTGAAAAGTGGTCTGATTTAGTGTAAAAGTCTTTGAATTAAATGAGCCTAGGTTTAAACCTTCACCTTGACTTGTCTAACCTCTATGCTGAGAAATACTGAATTTCTTGGGTTGTAAAATTGGGATAACATTATTTAGGTAATTCAATGTTGACATAACTATATGAAATAATTTGAAAGCTTCAGTCTAGCACCTGATTGTGTAGAATAATAGCAAAAACAGCTTCTCCTTTTTTTTTTAACCTTTCTTCTTTCACTTTCTCTTCTTTAGCTTCTGATTTATAGTACTTCTGCTGTTAAACCCTGATTGAGAGTCATTTCAAATTGGGTAAAAATGAGTCAAAATGTAGTGAAATCTTGATCCACAGTGATAAAGACTTGGGTTTGCCAACATTTCCTCTTCCATGCACATTTATGTTATATATGAAGTTCTGTAGTGAACCTATGTTTGGGCTGAATAATAGCTAACCTCAAATTCTCTGAGTAGACCCCTATAATTAAAATACTTAAAAATATTATCAGAGAAAATAATGGCAAGAAAAATATTTTTTTCTAATTTATAAAAATCTCATTACTTCATATTCTACTGGAATTTAGTTGGCACTAAAATATATAATATGAAAGATTTTACAGTGATATTTTAGTCTATTAAATTAGATTATTAGAGCCACAATAGTTTCACACATTTTGTAAATCTATGTATAATGACTATTGTTTATATCTTTGAATACTAAATGTTTGTCACTGTTCATAGCAGGAAAGAATGAAATTTCATGTTTTAAACTCCACCAGAGAATCAGATTTTACTTGCATTTCTATGTTTGTGTTCAGTTAATAACCTGACAGCATGTGAATGAAAACGTGATACAACCCTTTCAATACAGATGTAAGATGAAATCTATATAGTTTGGGATAATGAAATAAATGACAGTCTTCTTTTCACTCAAATCATCATACAAACTTTTTCCCCTTTTGCCTTAATTGAATTAAATAATATGTATGTGGTCTTATTTTTTCGCAACATAGATGGAGAATTATACTCTGGAACTGCAGCTGATTTCATGGGGCGGGACTTTGCCATCTTCCGCACACTTGGACACCACCACCCAATCAGGACAGAGCAGCACGATTCCAGGTGGCTCAATGGTAGGTGGTGCCTGCGTACCCAGACATACAACATTCACCACTGCATGAAGTCATCAGCGAACTCTCCATTCATAGGATGTACAGATGACTTGGGATTCAGTATGCTGTAGCACTAATGGTGATGACTTCATGACTGTGGGTGTGAGAAAGTTGAGCAAAAGACAAAAAATAAAAGGAGATTACAAATTCAGGAAATACTTGTTATGTGCCAAACTCGAAGTTTCTCAGTAGTTAACTATGGAAAGAAAGAGATTTGAGCTAGAGTTACGGAAGGGAGGTAATGGGAAAAGATAAGATGACTTAACTATCCTGTGTGACACAGAACCACAACAAATCTCACAATGCAGTGTTTTCTCCTCCCAGCTCTCATTACTCCGGAGAGCATCATAGAGGGTACTGAACATTAGAAAATAACTAAAATAACATCACATTGATATTGCTCTTAACATTTCAAAGGACTTTAATAATAATGTTTCACTTGATTCATTTACACATTTATCAGATATTTTTGTAGTAGTCCCTACGATAACACTTGATAATATTAATTGATAAGCAATATACAGATCTGCCTGCAATCTATTGAAATAAAGCTGCCCAGACACCATTCTCCCATCACTGAACATGTTCTTGGCCCCCTGTTATTCATTGGCATGAAGATTACAGTTCACTTATGTCCTCATTAGGGTCCTTGATCATCTCACTCTGAATTTCTGCTACACTTATTTTACTGCTCCTACTCCTAGAAACTTCAAAGATTACTCAATCATTACTATTATCCAATACTTAATTATGGGGAAAAAATCACACATCTGCCTCTAGGCCTCAGTGAAACAAGGTTATGTATATATGTATATGTATATATATATATATATAGTATATATACAGTAAAAATACTATACAGAGGGTTACAGTTGTATGAATAAGGTAATGAGTCCATTTCCTATCAAGCCTTATTACCTCCTCCTTTGTTTTTCTCCTACCATACCTTTCCTCCCCACTCCCCAGCTCCTCCCTCCTCCACCCAAAGTTGTAAAGTTCATTTTCAACATAGTATTTTGTACATCTCATTGTTACAATGGGTCAACCTGTGTCCTTGTTTTAGCATTTTGTTATTTCCCTTCCCCTTCCCAAATTAGAAAAATGCATACACAAGATTCAGAGCTCCTGAATCAAATACAGTGAAAACAGGAGTTATGGAGGAAGAACATACAAAAGAAACAAAAAAAATCACATAGTACATTATAAATATGTTAAAAACAATAGCAAGGAAGAAAAAAGCACTTGAGTTACTGTCTTGGGGTTTATTTCACTTAACATCATCCTATATGGTCATATGTACATAGCTTTTGACCTTTTCTTCTTGTCCTAGACATGCACTAGTTGTTGCAAATAAGGGAAACGATGGGACGTGTGTTTCTTTGGGCCTGACTTACTTCACTTAATATAATTTTCTCCAAGTCTTTCCATTTCCTAACAAATGAGGTGGTGTGATTCTTTCTGATGGAGGCATAAAATTCCATTTTATATATATATATATATATATCATATTTCTTGATCCATTCCCCTACTGAGGGGCATCTGGGTTGGTTCTATATCTTGGCTATGGTAAATAACGCTGTGATAAATACTGTTGTGCTGGTAGTTTTAGTATACCCTTGTCGTGACTTTTATATAACAGTCTTTGTTCAAGATTGACCTCAAGCTTCAAAGTGACTATTCAAACAAAGCAGACCTCAAATTCCCTAACTAGACATGTCTTTCCTCCTGTAATAGTTCTATGGTCAATTATTTTTCTTTTACTATGAAGCAAGACATGCATGTCACCTTCCTCTTCTGACCTTTCTACCTAGGTTCTTCATATGACTGAATTCACAGTTCTTTTGGTTGTCCTTATGTCTTTTTACCAGGACTTTCCCCCATGAAATCCTTACCCTCTTATCCCAGAAGATAAACCTTTACTAAAGTCATGGTTAATCAGAGTTTCATTTGTAATCTGAGTAGGAATTCTCTATGCAACATTCTTATCCTAGTTGGCCATGTTAAAATTGAGTTTTATCTCCTAGTCTGTATTCTTGACACTTCTTCCAAAGGTCAGAAATGTGATTTCACAGTTTTTAATCAAATTTCACATGTAAAATATATCCCCAAGGTTCCCCCAGGATTTTCCACTGTTACCCATTTTATTATTTTTCTTTAAATTTGTGCTGATTCTGGGTCATCTTACACTTGGCCTTTTCTACTCACAGCAGGTGCTCTACTACTTGAATCATGGCTCCACTTCCAGCATTTTGCTGGTTAATCAGAGATAAGAATCTCTCAGATTTTTCTGCCAAGACTGGGTTTGAACCTTCATCCTCAGGCCTCTCAGCCTCCTGAGTAGCTAAGATTACAGGTGTAAGCCACAAGTGCTTAGTTTATATACCTCCTTTTGAAAACACTCACTTCTTGAGCTGTCCTGATTTTTTTGCTCTCCAAAGAAGTTACCTTTAAACTTGATATCAGTTCCAAATTGGTACTTTAAAGGTAGATTATGGTTTGGATTGGGCACAAACACTGTGGTATCCAAAGGATTTTGAACAGGCTGACAAATCCCATCCCTTATTGGGTAAAAGAGGTGCAGTGATACTTGAGTGACCACTGAGAATTTGGAAGTCTCACTAAGGAAAGAAAAAATGCATAGTCAAAAAGAAGGACATGTGTAAAACTCCAAAAGACCTAGAAGACAATTATGGAAAGTCTACTGTCAAGTATTAAACCTGGAATGTTTGCAGTGGCAAAAACAATAGCAAAAGCCCCATTTTAGCATTTCTAGCTAGTCTGCTCTCAATCGAAAATTATTTATGTAGGAGGGAAAATGTTTGCTTTATATTCAAAGAGGAGGTGACTTTGATCTATGAAGAACTTTAAGGGGGTATAGAGGCTTTCACTGTCCTTGAGAAACAAAATCTCATTAGAAGATGAAATGGCACAAAGGAGTATCCATTTCATTTTTATGACCCTGGAGGAAAAAGCCATCAAGTGAAAGCTGCTTTTGTGCTGCACACACACACACACACACACACACACACACACACACACACACACACGCTGACAGCTGAGTCTGAAGAATTTACACTGTGGGAAAACAGTCATTGTCCACAACTCTGTACTTCATCTCTGAAAATGGGCAGTTCATTTGAGAATTCAGTTATCAGTCTCTCAGCACCAAACGTGAGAACTGATTTTTACCAAATTAGCACAAAGGTCCCATCTGACAGGGTACAGAAACCAGACAAATGCATGACAGAGGATGCAGACATGTTTGAGATATAACCAAGGGACCGTGAATCTCAAGCCTGGAAAAATCAGATACTATTTCAGAATCAAATTGGAAACATAATGTTTACATGCTCGTGCATAAAATAAATGAGTTTGGAGGCATCTGCATAGACTACACAATCATTTGTGTTGTCTAAAGTAATACATTGTTTTGTACAATTGTTATTCAGGGTCTTTGAGCTACTAAATTAATTTTGGAATTTGCCTTAAGTTACTTTTTTCCAAAAGCTTCATGTCTTTTGGGAGAATCAGTCCAATTTATGTGGCTCAAGTAAATTTATAATTTATTTTAATTAAGTTCTTTTTGGTTCCTTCTAAAGGGAGCAAAGAAAAAACCTTCATATACAATTAGATCTTAAAATACCTTGATTTTTTAAATTATAAAATTTCATTATTTTGTAATTTATATTACTTTTTTTATAATAGTGTCAAATAATAATCTCAGTTTTAGTGGGAATAAATAAGACTGGATAACCTTCTAGCAACTTAAACTAATTCTAATTTGTTGTATTATTTATAAATTTGTATATAACAATTAAAAATATGTTGATCATTTCTTAAACCAGAGGTTAGGATAGCTTTAGATTTTAAAATTATACCAGTATTTGTTTGACACAATGTGTTAGAATTTGCTGCTTTTATTTTTCTTGTGGTATATATATTCTCATCATATATAAATTTATACATATATATATATGTCTTTACATTTCAATTCAATTTTTAATTTATACTTAATTTGAAAATTAAGGTTTTTTTTTCCTCTGTGACTTTTTGTTTATTTGCAGTTAGAAAACAAATAGTCATGCTACTGTACAGCACTCATTTCTCCACATTTATATCTATATTTATAGAAGTACTGATGTCTAGTCCCTGGGTGCTTGGTATTCATTGGAGCAGATTTTTTTTATTTTTCTGCTTGAGGAAAAAACATTTTCTCATATTGTTTGACTCTTAGATTAAAGCTATATAATTTGAAAGACCACAGTCTTTAAAATGAGATAGTTCACCTTAATTTTGGTCCTTGTATGTGAGGAAAAGATAAGTTAATTACCACTTATAGTTACTATGGAAAAAAGAATACAGCCACTTATTAATGTATAAAAAGCTCTGACAAGGAGTTTGGCCTTAGCAAGTCCTTGAAATGTTCACTCCTGGTTCCTTTATCCCACATCTATTGGGTGGAGCATACTTAGGAAGCTTTGTCAGGCTCATTCTGTGAATGATTATATTTGAGTCAGGGTGAAAGGGCAGCCAGAGTTGGGCTTAATATACAAAACCACATGGAGCCTTGAGAGAGTCAGGGCCTGGTGAACACAAACAGACCTAATTACAAGGCCCAGAGTGTGAGGCCTTCCCACTCATTTCAAGAAGACCTGTTTTCTTTTAGTGGAATTTCCTAAAAGGATCATGCCTGTGAATAAACCCACCTACGTGTGTGTGTGTGTGTGTGTGTGTGTGTGTGTGTGTGGTTTGTATTTATTTTTCCTGTAATTGAAATGGTATGTAAGTCATCATTCCACTTCCTCTCCTTTGGAACATTCATGCCATGATGATCTACCCTCCTTTCCATCAGCATAATTTCCTCTGTGGTCATGTTCTAGGGTATTTCATGTTCTCTTAAGATTCAAGTTACTCCACAGGATGCATTTTAAGAAAAATAAAACCAAGGAACATGACTGAAA